CATTCCTCCGGGAAAAGCTGTTTGTGTGTGCGGTGTTAACCGGGACAATAACCTCTCCCCGTTCCCTCTGCAGGGGGTGCAGTAACTAGGGGCGGAATGAAGCTTTCTTTACGCTTTGGGGTGCACCGTCCTTCTCCTGTACCCCACTACCCGCTTTTCCTGCCCCCATCTTCCCACAAGGCAGCCGGAGCCGAGCCCCGGAGACTAGTGAGTCCAGACGCTGCGCCCAGGGCGCCAGGCTTCATCCTGCAGCCCCGTCCGGGAAGCCGGCTGCGAGGGGCCACCCCGGCTCCAAGGAGGCGCCGAGAAAACCAGGCTCCGCGCAGGAGTCGGGGAGGGCAGACGGGAGAGCTTCCTCTCCCCGCTCCGGGGAGACAAGGTGAAAGGGAAGGGGGGCGGCGGCACTCCACAGCGTGCGGCCGGGAACAAAGACGGGAGGAAGAGAAGCCGGCCACGCCGACGCCGAGGACGCGCCGACTTGACGCACGCCGGCCGTGCCCGCTCCCTACGCCGCCGGCGGGCCGCAGCCTTCGCGAATACGGCTTTGCGCACTGCGGCGGGCTGCGCCGCAACCGAGCTTGCCGGCGGCTCCGCCCGCGTCCTGCGCGGATTGGCGGCGGGCGGCAGTCCGGCCGTTGATTGGGTAGCGCCGGAGCCATTCGGGGCGGCCCCGGCGGGTTCGCCGCCCCAGAGTGATAAGTGCGGCTCCGGACACGCCTCGGCGCCAGCGGTGAGTCGGAGCTCTATGGAGGCGGCGGCGAGTCCCGGGTGGTGGCCGTAGCGGCGACTCCTCTGAGCTGAGCGCTTCCAGCCGGTCCCCGATTCCTTCCTCCCCCTTCCCTTCCCCTTTTTTGTTTTCCGTTCCCTTCCCCTCCCCTTCCCCGTCCCCGACGGCCTGATCCTGAGGCGGCAGCTGCAGTCGCGGCTGCTGAGTTCTGGGTGAAGGTGAGTGCCGCGCCGCCGCCGCCGCGAGGAGCGCTCTAAAATGGCCGCCGCGCCCACTCCGCTTCTTCTCGGGCGGCACAAAATGGCGGCCGCGGGCTTCGGGCGGGGCGGCCCTTCGTAGCGCGTCCTCCGCGCTTCGGGGCCCTGGAAATTCTTCTCCTTTGTTCTCCCTTCGCGCTGTCGACCGAGTGGAAGACGGCAACCCCTGCGGCCCGCGCCGTCCCGGCGGCTGCGGGGCTGGGGTCCGGGCGGGCCGCCGCGCGGGTGCGTTCGGAGGGGAGAGCGTGGCGGGGCCGCACGAGCCGCGGCGGGGAGGACGCGGGCCGCGGGGGGCCCAGCCGTTGGCGCGGGACCAGCCGAGGCGCAGGAGTCCCGCAGACCGGCCTCCCGGCGGGGAGGTGTGTGAGTCCCCCCGGGGCCGGCCCGGAGCCAGGGGGCTCTTCGGGGGCAGGGGGGCCGCCGGGGAGAGGAGAAAAGGAGGGTCTCTTTCTTTGTCGGTTGGGGAGGGGATGGAGAGGCCGGTGTCGGCCCCCTGGGGGTTGGTGGGCTTTGGGGCGGCGGGTGGGGAGGAGGCCGCCTTCCCGCGGAGAACAAAGAGCCGGGCGCCGCCGGCCTCCCTTCGCGGGGCGCCGGGCGGAAACGCTCCCCGCCTCCCTCCCTCCCGCCGGCCCGGCGGACTCGGCGCTCTTTGTTCCCAGGAAGGGAAGGGGCGGGCGGAGGCTCCGCTGCCATGTTGCGGCCCTGGCCTCCCGCCTGGTGGTGCCGTCGCTGCGCACCCCGGGCGTCTCCCCGGGGCCTCCGCGGAGGAGTTAAGGTGCCGACGGACAGGAACCGCCGCACAGTCCGCTGTCCCCGCTCCCGGCTTTGACTCGTCAGTTGGGGCATCGACTATCAGGACCTTCCCCACGTAATGCGCCCGAGTGGAGGGTTAGCTTTTCTATTGATCTCGGCGCTCAGTTTTTTTTTAAGGAGGGAGATTGGCCTTTTTTTTTTTTTTTTTTTTTGCTTTTTCTTTTTTCTTTTTTTCTTTTTTTTCAGATTCTTTCACCAGTTGAGATGTTTTTTTATAGGTTAGGAAGGCACTTTGCACCCTTGAACACAAAGGAATTTCCAATTGGCTAAACAGAACTAAAATTTACTGCCCCTTTGTGTGCCTCCTGAGGTCTGCAGTGCAGGGAAAGTTCAGTCAACTGCGGGGCCGTGGGCCGAAATAAATTAGCATTGAAGGAGGGTTACAGGTTTGTATGTGAGCCGTGGCTGATTTTGTACTCTTTCTCATTCTAGGTTTTTCATTTCTCCCATCCCCATCCCTCCCCACCCCATCCATTAATATTATTCTTTTGAAGATTCTTCATTGTCAAGCCGCCAAAGTGGAGAGTGCGATTGCAGAAGGGGGTGCTTCTCGTTTCAGGTATGTATGTGTGGATTTGTTTTGGGCAATTGTTAACGACCAATCCAAAACCAAAAGAATCACCACACTAAGTAATTCTGAATGAATGTGCTTTACATTTAGTTTATAATGTCTCTCGTTCATTTTTCTTTGAAGTCCTTAAATGTTCATTATCTTTTATTAACTGCCATGTGAAAATAAACGTAATCAATTGTTTGGCTTTCCATTTGGCCCAAGTTCAGTCTTCATCTGTGGTGTAATTTCTAAAATACAGAATAATTAAAAGAGATCTTTATCCCTCTGTATGAAACATAATTGGGGTCTAGTGTTGATTTTTTTTTTTTAATGTTTTTCTTTTAATTAGTGCTTCTTCGGGCGGAGGAGGAAGTAGGGGTGCACCTCAGCACTATCCCAAGACTGCTGGCAACAGGTAAACATGCAAAAACAACGAGTTTTACAAATAACAGATTGTATTAGTAACCTTTGTCATGCATAACAAAACAATTAGGGCACTAGACATTAGGAATCCCAACCTGATTGGGCATGATTTCTGCAAAATAACCTAAATTTAGGTTATACATGCTACGTGCTCATGAGACTTAGAAAATGTTGGTTCCCAATGTGGGGCAGCACCAGGGAATCTTATTAGAAATGTAAATCGTGGGCACTGCCTGGGCCCACTACGGCAAAAACAGTTTTTGTTCCAACCAAAGCCCGAAAGGTGATTCCGATGCATACTTGTTAGACAACCATTGATTGAGATTTTTAGTTGTAAGAGAAATTGAGAAGTCCTAAACTGAAATTTAAACTTGTTTTATTTAGGATTTCTGATCGGTATGACCGTCAATAAATGTGACTGGTGCTACATTTTAAATTGTCTTAATTTTAATTATAAATATTTTTTATTAGCGAGTTCCTGGGGAAAACCCCAGGGCAAAACGCTCAGAAATGGATTCCTGCACGAAGCACTAGACGAGATGACAACTCCGCAGCAAACAACTCCGCAAATGAAAAAGAACGACATGATGCAATCTTCAGGAAAGTAAGAGGGTGAGTTTATAGGTCCACTTGGTCTGTTTTAACAAATGCCGGTTGGATGGTTTATCTTAAAGATCAGCACCATCAGTATTCGGGGGCTTAGAGTTGCTTTCAGCCTGTTGTGCTGACATTGCTCATTTCTGGTGTATAACCCAGTGAAGTGCACAGAACAAGTGAGTGTTAGCTCCTGCACTGGCCTTGATAATAGGGATGCTATTATCTGGTTTTTGAGGATGAGTGAGATTTGTCAGACAGCTGGGGACCCCCATCGGGTACAGATATCATCTAAATTAGTGACAGGTTTATTAAATGTCTCTTTGGTTAGATGGGTACAAAAAAAGGTCTTGATATTAAAGAGAAATGAAGAAAAAATGAACATAATTTAAAAATTGTTTTTCGAGTTAATAATTCTTTGTGTGTTAGCTGACACTTAACGTGTGATTCCTTTTCCTTCCAGCATACTCAATAAGCTTACTCCTGAGAAGTTTGACAAGCTATGCCTTGAGCTCCTCAATGTGGGTGTAGAGTCTAAACTCATCCTAAAAGGGGTCATACTGCTGGTAAGTTACTGAAAGGGAAAGAAAAATACTTAAACAAACATTGGTGTTTTCACACTGTATTATTGCTTAAAACTTTGAGGTATGAGCTAGATAAATGTGTTTTTGAATAATGGTGATTTTTTTTAAAACCCACTAACTTAATGGCATCAGGTTTTGTAGTTGTTCATACTATTGTTGCTTGGAAAGTTAATGGGCTTATCATAAACAGGCTATTTGGGTTTGTTTTTCATTCTGTGGAAAATAACAATTTTGATCTTGGGTGAATTGCATAATAGTGATAGAACATTCCAGTGTCTGTTTGCAGTTTTGGTGTTCAGCATATTTTCAACACCTGGAGGAGGGGGGCAGTGACTAGTATGAGATCTGTATAACTGAGCTTTAATATACTATAACAGCTAACAAATGTGTTTTTCCAGGATGTATGCTAAGCACTTTACTTGCATTGTTTAATTTAGTTTATTCTGTAAAACCTTACAAAAATGGGGGTTTTTTTTAAATTACAAATGAGGTATGGAGGATTTGTCAGTAAGAAATTTGAGAAGATTAAGAGTGCATGCAAAGAATTAGGTTATAAAGGAAGGGGGGGGTTATGATGTTATATTTAGTGTTCTTAAAATGACATTTCCTGTAGATTGTGGACAAAGCCTTAGAAGAGCCAAAGTATAGCTCACTGTATGCTCAGCTATGTCTGCGATTGGCAGAGGATGCACCAAACTTTGATGGCCCAGCAGCAGAGGGTCAACCAGGACAGAAGCAAAGCACAGTAAGTGGTAGTGCTTACTTTGCCTATTTTAAAGTTGATTTGAAAGATCTCATTAATAAGACTTTCCAAATGTCTTTTGTTTTTAATAGACATTCAGACGCCTCCTAATTTCCAAATTACAAGATGAATTTGAAAATCGAACCAGAAATGTTGATGGTGAGGATTTATATTTGATATTAAGTAGTGTACTGTACATTTTCAACCTAATTCTGAATGTTGACTTTTTTATTTTTCAGTCTATGATAAGCGTGAAAATCCCCTCCTCCCCGAGGAGGAGGAACAGAGAGCCATTGCTAAGATCAAGATGTTGGGGAACATCAAATTCATTGGAGAACTTGGAAAGCTTGATCTTATTCATGAATCTATCCTTCATAAGTGCATCAAAACAGTAAGTATGATTAAGAATTGGGTTTAAATAATCACAATTATTTGGGGGAAATGAGTCAATTATAATTGTTTCTGCCATCTGAGAATTTTAGACTATTTTGATGAACAGTAAAACTTGCATATTCTGAATATGGAAGTATGCAGTGCAGTAGGGTAGGGGTAAAACTGGTTACCTATGTTAAATTGCTTAATTTGGGGGATTCCTTCACAGTTCAAATAGAAAGTACTGTTAAATACAATAGAAACTCTGAGTCAATGCAAACATAAGGGGAAATACTATATAAAGATTTTTGTCAAACTGGGTCATTTCTTTTCATAGCTTTTGGAAAAGAAGAAGAGAGTCCAACTCAAAGATATGGGAGAGGATTTGGAGTGCCTCTGTCAGATAATGAGGACAGTGGGACCTAGATTAGACCATGAACGAGCCAAGGTATGTGTGTCACTAACAAATAATATGGGTAGTTTAATTTTATTAAAATCCGATGTCTTTTTATGGTATAGGGCAGTGGTCGGCAAACTAGTCAACAGAGCCAAATATCAACAATATGATTGAAATTTCTTTTGAGAGCCAAATTTCTTAAACTTCTAACCACTACTTCAAAGTAGACCAGGCTGTGGTATTTTGTGGAAGAGCCACATGTAGCTCGAGAGCTGCAGTTTGCCAACCACGGATATAGGGGGTTGCCATGTTTAATCATTAACGTTGATTAAAATCTAGAAGTCTTTAAAAGTCTTAAATAGTATCCATTTGCCATAACACTTTTAACAATTTTTTTTATTTTATTTTATTAGTCCTTAATGGATCAGTACTTTGCCCGAATGTGCTCCTTGATGTTAAGTAAGGAATTGCCAGCGAGGATTCGTTTCCTGCTGCAGGTAAAACTGGTTCCTTTAATTATGTCGATGAGCTCACTTTTTCTGCTTAGAATATTAAAATGAAATTTATTTAAAATTTCTAAATTAAAGGATACTGTAGAGTTGCGAGAACACCGTTGGGTTCCTCGCAAGGCTTTTCTTGACAATGGACCAAAGACGATCAATCAAATCCGTCAAGATGCAGTAAAGGTAAGATTTTTTTGTTATCGGAGCTTTAAGAATATAACCAAAGGACCCTCTTAAAACTTTAAGACTGAGACTATCTCATCTTACTAATGGAGCTCAGAATTATAAATAGCACCCTGATAGTTCGTGATTGTTCTGTTTTTCACAAAAATAAGAATTTAAGTGTCCAAAACAAGTATTTTGTTCACTTTATTTCTAAAGGATCTAGGAGTGTTTATTCCAGCTCCTATGGCTCAAGGGATGAGAAGTGACTTCTTTCTGGAGGGACCGTTCATGCCACCCAGGATGAAAATGGATAGGGACCCACTTGGAGGACTTGCTGATATGTTTGGACAAATGCCAGGTGATTTTGAACAAAATGGTGGTTTGGTTAAATTTAAAAATCAGTATAACATAGTAGTAGAATTGTAAAACGTTGTCCCCTGTATGTATTTCAAGGTAGTGGAATTGGTACTGGTCCAGGAGTTATCCAGGATAGATTTTCACCCACCATGGGGCGCCATCGCCCAAATCAGCTCTTCAATGGCCATGGGGGACACATCATGCCTCCCACACAATCGCAATTTGGAGAGATGGGAGGCAAGTTTATGAAAAGCCAGGTAAGAAAAATTTAAGAATGTTTAAGCAACAAGTATTAAACCCTGTAATGTGGTTTTTTGCTTTTAAAAAAAAATGCAAATGCTTTAGGGTCATGTGTGTTTTTCTAAACCAAATCTACATCTGTGGCAGTTGTTTTAAACTGGGTGAAGTACTTACCCTTAAGATTAGTAAAGTATTAGTAAAATCACATCTCTTTATGTCTTGTTAGGGTTAGATTTTTATTCTTCCCTGTTTCATCTTTTACTTTCTCTGGGCAAATTCAGTTAAGCTTTCCTTATGGCTTGGCTCATCCCTTTGGTACTTTATTACCATAATTTGTGGACCCCTTTTTATCTAGACTTTCTTTCTCCCTTTCTGAAATAGGGGCTAAGCCAGCTCTACCATAACCAGAGTCAGGGACTCTTATCCCAGCTGCAAGGACAGTCGAAGGATATGCCACCTCGGTTTTCTAAGAAAGGACAGCTTAATGCAGATGAGGTACATTTGCCTATGTTACTTGATATACCACAGTTTGTCAATTCAGAAATTGCCCGATGATTAAAAACAGACGCGTTGAGGACTTAAATGCTGGACTTCTTCATCTTTTTTCTTCCTTTTTCTGTACTACTTTTTCTTTCTTTGTATGTCCAGCGTCCTGTGAGCGAAGATTATGAGATATGAGGGCAAGCTTCTTAAAGTGTTTAGTGAGAACAAGGAAAATGGTTGTCAAGATTTTGATTGTGATTTCAATCAAAACAAGTTCTTTGATCAGTTTACTCTAACTAGAATGGCTTAACTAAACATAAAGCAAGATATTTTCTAAACCCTAATTAAATTTTTTGGTTATTTTAATGATGCTAGTCCTAGGAGAATTCTGATATGTGTAAGAATTAACAGTATCTGATTCTCCTATGGATAAGATCTTCAGTATTCTTGACAGAAATTAAACTTATAAACAAAGAGTACCTTTTTAGTTATTGTTGAAACTTAAATTCCTGCCCTAGGATTTTTGGAAAGTTGCATTTGGTATCTTACCAACTGCATGTTAACTTGGATATGTTTTGATTTGTTTTCCGTTCTAGATTAGCCTGAGGCCTGCTCAGTCGTTCCTAATGAATAAAAATCAAGTGCCAAAGCTTCAGCCCCAAATAACTATGATCCCTCCTAGTGCACAACCACCACGCACTCAGACACCACCTCTGGGACAGGTATAGCAATTTCTACTTGATACTTCTGAAAGTGTCTAAAGATTTTCTTAGTGTATATACCCTCTAAATTCACAAGTTTGTTTTAAAATTTTTTATTAAGCAGTCACACCTATTTTTTTCAGACACCTCAGCTTGGTCTCAAAACTAATCCACCACTTATTCAGGAAAAGCCTGCCAAGACCAGTAAAAAGCCTCCACCCTCAAAGGAAGAACTACTTAAGCTAACTGTAAGTTTCAAATGTTCTCATAGTCTAGGTCATGAAGTATATTTGGGTTTTTCAGAAAAAGCACTGAAGACATTTGGATTGTATTCTTTTCAGGAAACTGTTGTGACTGAATATCTGAATAGTGGAAATTCGAATGAAGCTGTCAATGGTGTAAGAGAAATGAGGGCTCCTAAACACTTTCTTCCTGAGATGTTAAGCAAAGTAATCATCCTGTCACTAGACAGAAGTGATGAAGATAAAGAAAAAGCAAGTTCTTTGATCAGTTTACTCAAACAGGAAGGCATAGCCACAAGTGACAACTTCATGCAGGTAGAACACTTTCCTGTTTCTGTGAGAACTCTTTCCATTCAAATTTAAGGACGGATAAACTGACTGCTACATACTTTTTTTAAGGCTTTCCTGAACGTATTGGACCAGTGCCCCAAACTGGAGGTTGACATCCCCTTGGTGAAATCATATTTAGCACAGTTTGCAGCTCGTGCCATCATTTCAGAGCTGGTGAGCATTTCAGAACTAGCTCAACCACTGGAAAGTGGCACCCATTTTCCTCTCTTCTTACTTTGTCTTCAGCAACTAGCTAAATTACAAGATCGAGAGTGGTTAACAGAACTTTTTCAACAAAGCAAGGTCAATATGCAGAAAATGCTCCCAGGTAAGAGAATGTTGGGGAGGGTTTTTGGGTTGTTTTTTTGTTTTTTAATGCTATGACTAAATTCCTTAGTACCTTGAATGGACTTGTATAAGTCAGATGGTGTGCTTGTCCTGTATAGATAATAAGCATTATCTCCCACAAGTAGATTTCACTTTGTTATTAAAAAGTCATTATTTTTAACTAATTTGCTTCAAATGTTAAGAGTTTTCTTTGCTGAGTTAGCTTTTTATTCTTTTTTATGAACCTTGTATATTTGGGAAGTTGTCTGATACAAAAATGGCTTTCTTTTAGAAATTGATCAAAACAAGGATCGAATGTTGGAGATTTTGGAAGGAAAGGGACTGAGTTTCTTATTCCCACTTCTCAAATTGGAGAAGGAACTATTGAAGCAAATAAAGTTGGATCCATCCCCTCAAACCATATATAAGTGGATTAAAGATAACATCTCTCCCAAACTTCATGTAGATAAAGGATTTGTGAACATCTTAATGACTAGGTAAGAAAATTTTGGCTGCCTACAAGAAATCTGTAGGGTAAGGGATTAAGAATTGTCTGTTTTTAGCTAGAAATTTTGTTTTGGGGTTCTAATAAGATGTCTTTCTCTGTAGCTTCTTACAGTATATTTCTAGTGAAGTAAACCCACCCAGTGATGAAACAGATTCTTCCTCTGCTCCTTCCAAAGAACAGTTAGAGCAGGAAAAACAACTACTTCTTTCTTTCAAGCCAGTGATGCAGAAATTCCTTCACGATCATGTTGATCTACAAGTCAGTGCCCTCTATGCTCTTCAGGTGCACTGCTACAACAGCAACTTCCCAAAAGGTGAGAGGACCAGCCTCAGAAAAAGGGCAGGTGGGGGGACGACTTTTCAACAGCACATTAACCCCTAACCAGTTTGGTTCAGTGGATACAGCATCTGCCTGTGGACTGTTGGTTGCTGGCTCATCTTCAGTAGTGGGTGTGCAGGAGGCAGCTGATTGATGTTTCTCATTAATGTTTCTAACTCGCCTCCCTTCCTTTCTGTAAAAAATCAATAAAATATATTTTAAAAAAGACATTAAATGATGAGATTACATTTTGTCTTTTAGGCATGTTACTCCGCTTTTTTGTTCACTTCTATGACATGGAAATTATTGAAGAAGAAGCTTTCTTGGCTTGGAAAGAAGATATAACCCAAGAGTTTCCAGGGAAAGGCAAGGCTTTGTTCCAGGTAAATGTTTTGCTGGAGAAATTTGGTCTGCTTTTTCCAGTTTACTTGGTTTTACTTTAATGACAAGTCTTTAAAATCAAAATAGTCAATGTTTTAAAGGTATTCTATGGTGTCATGCTGTGGGTAGAGTAGATAAGAGTAGGTAGTTCCCCCAAAATGAGGTAGAATTATGAAGTAAAAGGCTTCAGTCCTTTGTGTAAGATGTTAGGTTAGAACTGGCTAATTTTATTTAAGTGAAGCCATTTAAAAGATTGGGTGAGATTGCAAGTTGGGTTTAAACCTTTTTTTTTTTTAATGTCATTAAAAAGGAGATTGCTTCTTTTCATAGTTTGATTTTCAGTCTTACTGAGTGAAATTCTAGCTCTAGGGGATTCAATGACAGCAGGTTCCAGACCAGATCACAGAGATTCTGAGTTAATACCAGTAGGTCTGTGGTACACGATCCAGGTGATTGATTGTTAGACCAGTTTTCCAAGGGGCCAAGCCTTGAGAAACACTGGTCTACAGTTTCTTATCTGTACTCCTAAGGTTCACAAACTAGTTTTATGAGGATCGATCATTCTTTTTTTTTCTTCTTTTTTTAATTTTTTTGATTTTGTACAGAGAGGAAGGGAGAGAGCTAGAAACGTCCATGAGAGAGAAACATCGACCAGCTGCCTCTTGCACGCCCCCTACCGGGGATATGCCTGCAACCAACGTACATGCCCTTGACCGGAATCGAACCTGGGACCCTTCAGTCCGCAGACCAATGCTCTACCACTGAGCCAAACCGGTTTCGGCAGGATCAATCATTCTTACAGCATTTACATTTAGCTCTTCCCTTGGAGAGACTGGTCCAGCAATTTTGGGGTGCTAGAAATCTGTTCAGGAATCTTACTTTGACATTTTTTAAAGGGGAGTAAGGGAGAAAGAAACATCAGTTGCCTCACACACACAAGCTGGCTCAGCATCGAACTCACAGCCCAGGAACGTGTCCTGGCCTGAAAGCATAGCCGCAACCTTTGGGTGTTTAGGAAGACACACCAATTGCAATACACCAGTCAGGGCTAGGAATCTTCTCCCACTTCCCCTTCACAGTATAGTTTTAACATATTTAGGTTTGGAAAAAGTATCTGTCTCCTAAAATGATCCTGAAATATAACTGTAGCAGTGTCAAAAAATGACACCTGAGCTAATTTACCATAAATAGTTTGTATCAATGATCACCCAACTTTTCAAACCTCGTGGACACCAGTGATCCACTGACCACTGGTTGGCAGCTGCTGGTTTATATGATATCCAAAAATCTAAATAATGAGTAGTTAAAATAGCTTTAAAGCTAATATAAATAGTACATTTACTCTATGTCCTAGAGACAATTATAAAAGGTAAACAAAACTTGTGTCCTTGGGTGGGGACTAAATTGGTCTTCAAAGCTTCTGTTTTGGGGTTTTCTGTCAGTACTACCTATTTTTTTACATTACACATTAATTTACAGGTGAATCAGTGGCTAACCTGGCTAGAAACTGCTGAAGAAGAAGAATCAGAGGAAGAAGCTGACTAAAAGAACCAGCCAAAGCCTTAAATTGTGCAAAACATACTGTTGCTATGATGTAACTGCATTTGACCTAACCACTGCGAAAATTCATTCCGCTGTAATGTTTTCACAATATTTAAAGCAGAAGCACGTCAGTTAGGATTTTCTTCTGCATAAGGTTTTTTTGTAGTGTAATGTCTTAATCATAGTCTACCATCAAATATTTTAGGAGTATCTTTAATGTTTAGATAGTATATTAGCAGCATGCAATACTTACATCATAAGTTCGCAAGCAGAAGACAGTCTATTGCAAGGATCTTCTTTGCTGCCAGTTATCATAGGCTGTTTTAAGTTAGAAAACTGAATAGCAACACTGAATACTGTAGAAATGCACTTTGCTCAGTAATACTTGAGTTGTTGCAATATTTGATTATCCATTTGGTTGTTACAGAAAAATTCTTAACTGTAATTGATGGTTGTTGCCGTAATAGTATATTGCCTGTATTTCTACCTCTAGTAATGGGCTTTATGTGCTAGATTTTAATATCCTTGAGCCTGGGCAAGTGCACAAGTCTTTTAAAAAAGAAACATGGTTTACTTGCACAAAACTGATCAGTTTTGAGAGATCGTTAATGCCCTTGAAGTGGTTTTTGTGGGTGTGAAAAAATGGTGAGAATTTGAATTGGTCCCTCTTATTATAGTATTGAAATTAAGTCTACTTAATTTATCAAGTCATGTTCATGCCCTGATTTTATATACTTGTATCTATCAATAAACATTGTGATACTTGATACAGTTGTGTGTGACTTATAATTAGTATCCACCAACTTAAAAAAAAGTTTGGAAATAACCAAAATGTAACCAATTCCTATCATCAAAGGCAGTGCTGAAATCATAAGTCTTGAATACATAGCAACAAACTCAGAGGTAGTAGTGGGTAGAACCAAATGTTTGTGTCCTATTTGAGTCAGAGAAGCTTGTTCGTAACTGTGTTCTTAACTTTTGACAGGCCTCTTCACTGACATTCCTAACATACGTAATAGACTTAGAGCTTCTGGTGGATGTCCTGAGTACAATGAAATTAAGGCTAAGTAGAGACATGCAGATGACTTTTTTTTAAATGTTTTGATTTTAGAGGGAAAGTTCTAGAAATATCAGTGAATAATATATCAGAGCCTGCAACCCTAACCAGTAATGGAACTGACTTCTCTGCAGACACTTTAAAAAAAAAGTCGGCTTCCTGAACTTTTTTTTAATCTAAAGTGTCTTAACACACAGCTATGGAATTAATGAGCTATAAATTGCATTATTGCTGGCCTGCCCAACCTTCCCCTTAAAGGGGACATTGGAGTTAACCTGGTAAATGTATAGTACTAGGTCTTTGCTTTCATTTACAACCAGAATTCCTCTAATTCAGCTATGGCTGTGGTCCGCAAACTGCGGCTCATGAGCCACACACGGCTCTTAGGCCCCTCTTCCACAAAATACCATGGCCTGTGCAAGTCTATTTTGAAGAAGTGGCATTAGAAGAGGTTTAATTTTAAAAACTTGGCTCTCAGAAATTTTAATCATTGTGCCATTAATAGTTGGCTCTGTTGACTAATGAGTTTGCTGATCACTGAGCTAGGGGACTGGACCAAAGGAAGTTTTAGGCCTGATGTGCAGTTGTCATTGGTTATAGAAGTCGGGCTTTCACACCCCCCTCCCATGCTTCAAGAACTCATACTGATGATCCCTTGCTCCAGACAAACAGTATATAACCTACCATACTAGGGGACATTTGCACCTTGTATAAATAATGCCATTAGTATCAGCATACAAATTCAGTGACTTACCTTAAAAATAGGATTCCACATCTTTTACTGCTTTGAGTTAACTCTTCATTTTGCCCGTTCCCATTCTCAAACAGGCTGCACTCAAATACACTGAAGCTTTCTCAAGATAAATAACCTATATCCAGTAATTTTCATTCTGTAGGCAGAATTGGACAGTCAATTCCCTGAAATTTCTTTTCAGGTCAACAAACTTTCTACCTCATTTGTTGGCTGTCCCTTCTCAGTCTCCAGTAGGAAATGCCTGGTGTCATAAGTACCTCAGCTGCTTAACTTTCAAACCCTGTGTCTAATCAACTCTCCCTCCAAAACAGGAATCAGATAGCTTCTTAACCTCTCCACTCATTTCTATTCTGTATGCCCCAATAGCCTTAACTGGATTCTCTGGCCTGGCTTCCATTTTTTCCTGGGACATGCCAGGCATTGGAAGTTTTTAATGCTTAGATAATTGGATGACTGGGTACCTCAAGCTTCACCGGGTCCTGGCTCAAATGTCACATTTATTAGTTTATTAGTAAGATCTCTACTGTCCACCTCTTTAAAATGTAACCCTGCACACGTACCAGGTGTACCAGTTAATGCAATTTTTTTTCAATAGTTGGTGTCATATTGATATATAATTTGATAAGTACTATTTTGTATTTACAGCAAGCTTCAAAATTTCATATGTCAAAAATTTCTGAAGGTGTTAATATAGATACTACACATACACTTAAAATGTCTAATTTTGTGCCAAAGATGATGTGCGGGAAGTTTTAATTCATTATTTTGAAGAAAAGTGCTGCTGAATACTTCAGGAAGCTTATGGTGAACATGCTCCATCTCAAGATACTTGTGAATGCTGATTTAAACGCTTTAAAAGTTATAATTTCAAATGTGAAAGTCAACCGAAAAAGTTTGAAGACCAACATTTACAAGCATTGTATGGAAATGCATGTCAAACTCAAAAACAACTTACAGAAAGATTAAACATTGTTTAGCAAATACTTTCCAATCATTTACAAGCAACAGGAAGGATTTTAAAGGAAAGAAAATAGATGCCACATCAACTGAAAGACAAATGAAAAAGTCATCAGTAAAATTTGGGCAAGGGCACAAAAAAAATTCTTTTTTGCTTCAAATTGTGACTGGCGATGAAAAGATTTATTTTGAGCCGAAGCCGGTTTGGCTCAGTGGATAGAGCATCAGCCTGCGAACTGAAAGGTCCCGGGTTCGATTCCGGTCGGGAGCATGTATATTGGTTGCAGGCACATCCCCGGTGGGTGTGCAGGAGGCAGCTGGTCGATGTTTCTCTCTCATCGACGTTTCTAGCTCTCTCTCTCCCTTCCTCTCTGTAAAAAATCAATAAAATATATATTTTTTTTTAAAAAGAAAAGATTTATTTTGAGAATTTCCAAATGACCAAATCATGGGTTGATCCAGGTCAACCATCAACATCGACTGCAAGGTCAAATCACTTCAGAAAGAAGACAATGCTCCGTTTAGTGGGATTAGGAAGGTGTGTATTGTGAGCTGCTAAAACCAGGTGAAATCATTAATACTGATTGCTACCATCAACAAATAATCAATTTGAACCATGCTTTGATCGTGAAAAGACCAGAATGCCAGAAGATACGGCAAAGTAATTTTGCTTCATGCTGACGCACCATCACACACTTCAAAACCAGTTAAATATACGTTAAAAGATCTCTCCTGGGAAGTATTAACCCTCCCGCTGTATTCACCAGACCTTGCTCCTTCAGATTACCACTTGTTCCAATCGATGGTACACGCACTTTCTGAGCAGCACTTCAAAATATACGAAGAAGTGGAAAATTGGGTCTCTGAATCGTCTGCCTCAAAACAAGAAAAGTTCTATTAGGACATTATCCACAAATTACCTGAAAGATAGGGGAAATGTGTAGCTAGCGATGGACATCACTTTGAATAAAGGACTTTTGATGTTTCGCTTGAAATTATGTTTTCTTTGATTATAAAATTCGATTAACTGGTACACCTGGTATGTCTTTCCTGCTTTAGGTAACTTCATGCCTGCCATTATATGACACTGAATATATCTGACCCCTTACAGAATGTGAAGAGATTGAACTTTTTAACTGTTTTGTTCTCTACTGTATCCCCCACACCTAGAATAGTGCCTAACAGTAAACTCAAGTATTTGTTGAACTAAATCACAAATAAATAAAATTATCTTACACAGCAGGAACTGGACATAAAAAAAAAGGTTGTGGAAAGAACTTAGACTTAAGTTATAGATTTAGGATTCATCCCTACACCTATTAGCAGTGTGATGTTAGGGACATTTTAATTCTGAGCTTTTAATTTTTTATAATGAGGCGAGTGGAAAGGATTGTCAGAACTAAATAATACCAAGTATGTGAGTCAGCTTAGAGCCCTGCACCTAAGTCCTTCAATATATAGGGTGGGGTAAAGCAGGTTTAGTTGTGAGTATATGAAATAGTTTATTCTTGTATTATTAACCGTTGTATTGTTTTCCATACAAGAATAAACTGTTTCATGTACTCCCACCCTGTATGTGAATTCATGTCTGACCTCAATAGCTTTTTCTTTCTATTTAAATATTTAATGATCTCAGTAGCTTTTCTAAAATACCTCTTATAAGAACTTCCATCCTGAACTTGCAATCACCAGCTAAAATCTAATGGGCATTGCTTGGTTTTATTTGACTATCAAAAGCAATAGGGTTTGGCTCAGTGAATGCAGTGTCAGCCTGTGGACTGAAAGGTCCCAGGTTCGTCCATGCCCAGATTGTGGGCTCGATCCCCAATAGGGAGCATGCAGGACGCAGCCGATCAATGATTCTCATCATTGATGTTTCTCCCTCTCCCTCTCTGAAATCAATTAAAAAACAAATTTAAAAAAAGTCAACTGCTCTTTGTCTTCCTCTCAGGCTTCTCCGTCTCCTTTTCAGGCTTTTCTTTTTACTTTTTTTTTTTTTTTTAACATTTTATTGATTTTTCACAGAGAGGAAGGGAGAGGGATAGAGCGCTAGAAACATCGATGAGAGAGAAACATCGATCAGCTGCCTCCTGCATGCCCCCCCACTCGGGATGTGCCCGCAACCAAGGTACATGCCCTTGACCAGGATTGAACCTGGGACCTTTCAGTCCGCAGGCTGACTCTCTAACTTGCGGTTAAAGTTTTTCAGGCTTTTCTAGCCTGGCTCATGAATAC